GAACTGCATGCATGTGTGCACTGGCAAGCTCAAGAAAACTAAAAAGAGAACCGCAAGATGTTTCCAGGCGTTCAATTTCCTGATGCACAATCTTGTTGAAGGTATCATGATCAGCGCACCGCCTAAGCTGGTGCATGTTGTGCATTTGCTCACGGTGCAAGGCTTGTACTCTGGACAGCAGTACATCCTGGAAGCTCCCTGCACGGACCTGTCCTGACCTGGGGGACTCCATGGCATCTACAACTAGTTACCCCTCCAACTACGCAAGCAGAGATTGTCACTGCTTCTTCCGAATAAGAAGGCAATTGCTTCTTTTCAGGATCTACAAGCTACCCACCACCACAAAATACAACTTGAGCCGAGAAGCTTCGATGGCAAGTCCGCTGGATTAGAATCTGATGGCACCTACTCCTACCACGCCCAAGCATCGATCACAGACAAATAGAAAATCATTGAGAACATGGCCTGGGAGCTGCTGCACGAGTAAAATCCTACAAGCTTCGTTGTCGAACGATGAAAACAACGCCACGCCTTGATTCCATGATGTCGGCAAATCATATCTGAGCACTGAAACAGGCAAACAACTCGATTTCGCAAAAGACTTGTTTGCCAACATGCTTGACCCATTTGTCGACAAGTCCCTGGCCTGAACTTCAACTTGCGCCACTGGGTTTTGTCGCGCTTTGCCTGCTCCCTCACCTCTTTGTGGAGCCTTGCTTCCTCCACCTTATCTCCTGTGGCTCTGGCCTGAGCGCATTTGCACCAAATCCCACGGGTTGCTGCGTAATCCAAGGTTTTTGGGGTTATCTGCATCTGTGGTGTACGCTTGTGATGCGAAGCTGTGGAAGGTGTCTGCGAAGCTGGCGGTGTACTTTGTCTGTACCTCAGGTGGTTGGGGGTCTGAGAGTTCTGTGGGACATGGGACTTGAACTTCAAAAATGTCAATCCTTTCCTGAACTGCTTGCAAGAAATAAAGGGTCGCTTCTTCGAAGCGAGGAATTATATGGCTGTCCTCCACCCTGTGGGTGGGTCTGCGGCGTGGGGCTGTATGAAGGCTTTTCGTGGCGGGGCTCAATTGCGGAGCCCTTACCACAAATGAAGCTGTCGGATCCAACTACGGTACGCTCTTCTGGCTGTGGATTGCTGGGAGATCCTACGTTGTTGTCGGGCATCCTGTGATCTGTGCGTTCGCTTTAGTTGGGACCTGGAAGGCGGGGTAAACTGTGTATGGGAATGTGTTTGTGGTTGGTGAGGTTGGTTGTTGGGCACTTCGTCGCGAAAAGGAACACTTCGACAGCTGAGATGCACACAGAGCTTACGGAACTCTGAGGAACACTAGGCACAAAACTGTCTAAATGGCTCAGCACGCCCAGCTCACCTATAGGAGGTGCGCCCTCACGCACCAAACTGTTGCGCGCCTGCAAGGATCCATCCTCAGGTTTACTGTGAGGAATGAAAAAGGTGTCGTCAACAGATTCCACTGCTCCTGCTGGAAGATGCGCCTGCCACTTTCCTTCTGTAGGAGCCGCGTTGCTTGAGGTCCCTCACGCTCTTCTGAGCTCTTGCATTTGTCACTGCCTCATCCAAATCTGCCTGTGAGGAGAATGGCCACCATGGCTCTCTTAGGAGCGCTGGGTCATCATCTCCTGCTGTGGATGGCTTGCCTTGGCTTCTGCAACACCAGATCCTGCAACAGCATTGAGGGTCTCTCCCTCTGCGACTGTTGCCTCTTGATTGTCTCCAGCCATATAGACTCCATAAGATCCTGTGCTTCTGAGGTTTTTGAAATGGAGTCTGTCAGGATGATTGGCCTCCACTTCTCGAACTCCACAGCCCAGGGAAATTCATACTTGAATCTGGCTACCCAGGTGTCCATGCCTTGCTCTTCGCCCGTGGAGCAGGAGGGACTAGACGTTGTCAGAAAACGGCTGAGTCTTGGCATCGATGTAGTTGGTTGCTGTGGAGGCTGCTGCATTCTCAATGGCCTCATTCTCCGCTTATGACTGCGCAACCTGTGTCCTGAGCTGCTGACACCAGAGAGTCTTCCAGAGTGCTCTGCAGAAATCTGGACTGCGCACTTCCAGTCTGCCAACGCACCTGATGAGCTTGATGCTGTGGAAGCACGCCTGGTGTACTTGATTCTTCCGAGCTAGTCAATCTGTGATTCTACCAGCACCAAGGTTGTCCAGCGAGGGGTCAATGGCTCACAACCATACTTGGCAAAGGCATGCTGGTATGCGTTCATGAGCCCATACAGCGGCGCACCCCGCCTTCTCTCAAACTGCGTCACTCCTAAGGCCAGCTTGATGTATCCCACTTTGGACCACTCCTTCACGACCCTGTGAGGAAGCACTGGCCTGTCCAGGCGTAGCTGCGGCAGGCGTCTGTGAAGGAGTAGCTGTGGCCGAATATCCCACGTCGCTGCCGCCTTTGTCCGTCGCCGTCCACGTAGCGCGGCCTGATCCGGTTGCACGCCTGAAGCGCCTTCTACCAGAACGTGAGGTTGGGGACTGTGAGGATGGAGACTCCCGGATCTCTTTCGGGCATAGAGCTTTGCCTGCTCTTCTTTGGTTTTGGCGCGGAGGACGCTGTCTATCTCTGCGTGGGCAAAGTCTGGCGGCGGGCGCCTTTCGCTCAGTAGAAGGCGGCATGAACGAAGTTTCTGGCATATTTGCTTCGCAGTATTCCGGAGGGGCAGCGTCGAACACTCCAGATATTTGCGAGGAACATCCGAAACTGCGAGTACCATGCCGCTGGGCATGCATCTCAGTTGCAAGCCATCCTTCAGAAATCTGGCCCAATCAAGCTCCCAATAAAGGATTCCCTGCCCACTTTTCATCATGGCGCCATGCCGGGCGGAGTTGCGCCAGCACACACAAAGCGCACGCCTACGCGGCCCCTCTCACTCCTCAGACCATGTGCAAACGGCGACAGAACTAAGCCAGAGCTATGAATGAATTTGTAATTGCAATTAGATGAGGTGTGGAAATTTGACTCCATCGTTGCACAAGCATCCTTGTCTAGCAGAAGTCCTCGGGCATCAGGATTCAAGCTCCTTGGCAATTTCAAGTTCTTTGGCAGTTTGGTATGGCGCCGCCCTGCTCTAGCCTCAATGTGGAACCCTGACTTGGCTGTAATGGCAGGCACTGAAACCTTCGGGGAGATATGACACACAAACCGAGCCTTACCATTCTCAACCCAGTATGTGCCTCAGTAAGGGCTTCAAGCGGTCAGAATTTGGGCTGCAGACATATCTTGCCGGATAATGCTTGTGAGTAAACTCTCACTTTGTCATGCGCAGGATCATTGATGGGAGTCCACGTATCTCCCCACGCTTATTCCACTCTTTTCAGTTGGATTTTTCATCGCGACATCCATCTCACAAGATCGGACGAACCACGTCGTAGCTTCATGAACTGTTGAAAACGGTGGACGAAGACATTAGCACTCCCCTTCACAAGGAAAGGCCTCAGAGTTCGCTTGCAATATGCGCCATCATCGTTGCTCTTCAGCTGTGGCGTCGCCCTCCAACTTGTTCCTGAGGGTTCCTGTTTTCTCCTCGTCCAGTTCGGCCACATCGCACCAGTCGTCTACTGCGTCTTCAAGCGCAAACCAAGATGTTCGGGTTATGTCGTAAGTTGACATTGCTTGCCGTGGTACACGCCCCGTCATAAAGGTCCTCATCACGCATCACGCATGTCAGTCTAAAATTATTCTGCCATAAAAAGCTACTGCGTCTCCTTTCTTCGCTGTAGGTGGGTACCTCTACGTGGACAGAGACCTCCTTGGAAAGTGCTCCGCTACCTCGTTGAGATTGACGCGTACGCGCAGTACATTTCACACGAAGTACAGTAAAGCAGGCGGACGGGTGTCTGTCCCCAAAACCTTGAGAGCAAGCACATCATGTCGGCTGTGTTTGGACTGAAAGCACCCCCGCCTTCCTCAAGTCTCCCACGCCGCTCACTCCACTTAAGCACGCATGTGGCCAGCCCAAGACGGCAAACAAGCAAGCACTTGCAGTCGCATGTTCACTCACTCGTTCACTGACTGGCTTCCTCCCTCTGCTCTTGCCCATCCTCCCTGGCTGTTATGCTCCTATTCACAATATGACAATATCATCATCATTATGCCCTTTTTGCAAGCAATTATGCCACTTCGTTCGAGTCGCGAGGTAGAGCATTCATCGCTACTGAAAAGGCACCTGAGAGCTGGTGCACCCCAGACTACTCGTCACACAAACATGCAGCTACAGGGACTCCTTCACTATGGGATACTACGGGATATGTGTGGCATCGCATGAAGAAATTGCCGTTTCCCATCTGGCATGTGATCCACCAAAACATAGCAACTCGCCACTCATAGGCGGCGAACAAGCGAACGAACGGACAAACAAACATTCAAACAAACAACAGCAGACATGTATGTTTTACAGCGAGTATCAGCTCAGTGGAAAGCCCCAGCATCCAGCATTCCATGCAATTACTTCACGTCAATCAAGCCCAACAAATTCTGAATAGTTGGGTAATTCCGTTGGACTTTCCGCATGCCAAACCGGACGTCAGCTTCCCCGCCCCCGCCCCCCTCCCGGGGGCAGCACACCAGAACACGGAATTCTTGCCGAGCTGCACGCTCTGTTCCAGGTAACTTCCGCTCGAGCCGCTCTTGCTGGTGTTTAACGGCCAGATCCGCCCAAGAGGATTCAAGGGGTAGGTGGAAGTTCCACTAGTCATCAAAATTTGAAGAGTGAACCATGGCTCTAAGCTCCCAACAGCCAGAAGGTGGAGCAAATAGCTGTCACCGCCACTGCTTCGTTGTCAAACTCCCCGCCCACAGACCTCCGCAAATTGACAACGTTCCGTCTGCCATGCCTTCATCAGGCCGTTCCTCATGAGGTGTGCGGGGATCACTGCCATGATCAACGTGGCACAAACGCCGGCATTGACCTTGTGCACAAGGTGTGATCTCTATCTTTGGGAAGGGAAACTCAGGTTTTTGGGAGCCTGGCGCTCCTAGAGATCTCGTATGCCAGCAGGCCTGTAAAGATGGACCTCACGCAGAGCCACAAAGCAAAGCCGAAGCTGGCGATCAGCCGCTGAGAGACCAAGAGCAAAACGCATAGCTGCCGAACCAGGGCGGGATCATGCAGCAGATGTCGTTGACACCTTTGCTACGATGCTCCGTAGGCCTTCTGACTCTCTGGCACTCTTCCCTTGAAGCTTTTAGCTGTGGGGGGCCTGAGTCTGAGTCGCCGGCTCATGGGGCTGAACTCGTAGGACGCCTTGATGGATGGCCTCGCTTGGTGAAATGTTCTTTTTTTGCATGACTGCGCAGACTGAGCTTGGCGCAGAAATTTCCAGCCCGACTTCTTCAGGTTAGAGATCAGAGGCCTCAGAAACTCACTCCCACAAGGGCAACTCTTGCTTACGCTGCCAGCCTCAGCGCCAAGACCAAAGATGGAGTCTCTATCTTGAACTCGCCGACCTTCTTCATGGCCTTCCGCTCTCCAGTTCAGTCATGTTTTCAACTGTCCAAACCTTAGGTGCGCATGTCACAACGAGCCCTCAGCTGAAAAGCTGAACACAAGCTGTCGTTCCATCAAACTGGCCAGAAGTCCGAAGCCATCCCCGTGCCTCCCATGTCCACACCGCGGTCATCTGCATGCCAGGATAGATCCTGGGCAACATGCACTGCCAGCACCATTGCGCTCATGACCTGCGTCACGTTAACCAGCACCACGACGCAGAGACGCGGAACTATATCACTTTGACCGTGGTCGAAATTTTCAATGGCTGGCAGACGAAATCTTGCGTGATCCTTAGTAACCTTGGCATTAGTTTATGTGTATTACTGCAAGTCATCCGCGCATCGGGAACAGCTGGAGCCGCGCACGTGGTGCCAATCGGTCGACCCAGCGGGTACCAGGACTCGTAGTCGTACCACTGCAAGAACTTCTGCCTCGCTGGCGACCCATCATTATCTTCACTCCTCTGCAATTCCCCACTTCGGGCCCAGCAGGCCATGCTCTGCCAGGTACTCTGCTGCACGGTAGTTAAACCACGGGTCAAACCTGAACATTGAGCCATCCTAAGGAGATCTTGTCCTGCCAGAATGCACCACTAGGCCCATTGCTCATGAATGATGTAGCCATAGTCCTGGTAAGGCAAATGCAGCTGGCAATATTTTTTCAAATGCTCCTCTCAATGCACGAGTCCTTGATTGGATACAGCCTGATGTCGTATGCTGCATAGGCACCTCACACATCAGCTGGGGCGTGGCTGTCCTGAAAATCAACAAGAGGCAGATGAGCATTTCTCCAAAATTGGGGGGCCCCCATTTTGGGATCCCTCTTCGTAAGACCACGAATTTGGACAATGTAAGGGGACGCCAATTTTGAGAAGTACCATGTTTTGAAGGCGGCGGCCATACAAGATCAGCAGGGTCTGCAACACAATCAGCACCTGCACAGCCGCACTGCTTTGGCTCCCTTGACAAGCTACTGATGCTAGCAGCAGCAGTCAGAATCACCACCATTATCTTTGCAGTCACAAGTGCCAACACGATGATGAAGCACGCAGTTCCCAGACAAGAATTTTACACCGTTAATTGGCAAAAGATCAAGGAAGGCATGACCATGGAGATTCTTTGGATAAGGACGCCCTCGAAGGGAGCTCTTTCAACATACCAGAACACATTGAGTCGGACAAGGCTAGTATGGGAGAATGTTGATGCGTTCTACACGTTCCATGTGGACCCCCTCATGGTCCAAATTTCATTCAGGCTCAGCTTTAGACAAATGATGTAATTCCGTCAGTCGCAACAGCGAATGCGAGGCTGCAGGTAAGGCATCTGCGGCTTTGAAGGCTTGCCGGAAGGGGAAGAGTAAGGCACTCCTGAGCTCCCAAATCCACTCACTGTGCGCTGCATCTATGGGGCTTGTTGCACTGGGCGCCCAGCATCTGTGCGAAACCCAAAATAGGGCTCTCTCTCAAACCTCAAACCTCCAAGGCTCCGTGCAGGCAGGAGACTGCCGACGCTGCCGAGGCTACACTGGGCCTGAGATGCCGAGCGGGGCCGGGAGCCCCGGCCCCCAAAGCCGGGCTCAGCCGGGCTCAGCTGGGCTCGGGCGAATGAGCACCGGCCCTCCCCCTCGCTCCCTCGCTCCCTCGCTGAGCTCCCTCAAAACTCAGCCTCAAAACTGGCCCTTGAGCCAGAAACAGCGGGAGGTCCACAGAGCTGGCGAGTCATCTTTTGAGGACACCCAATTTCTTGAGTTTTCCTCCTCCTCCCTTCCGGAAAGCTCGTCTTTTGCTTCAACCCACACGCAGTGGTACTTTGCGCCAGGGAGACGACGTGCTAGGTGAAAGCATAGTTGGGTGTCTCTCAAAAGCATGAACCTCTTATGAGACGCTCTGTGGGATGTTGGCAAACCTCAAGTTTGAGAAATCCCAGTTGGGCGGGGGCACCGCAGTCTCACTTCCAGACTCTGAGGTCCCTACGCCAAACATGCCCGGGAGCTGGTATTCAGAGTCCAGGCAAAGCGAGCGCCTCTTTGAGCTCTAATCCAAAGGTGAAGACGCGGCCCCGAGAGTCCTCGCATCGTACCTTCCTCTGACATCCGACAGCTCAACCTCGTCCACGCGTGTGAAGCGTGAGGCGCGAGGCGACTCCTTCTCACCTTAGAAAAAGCTCAGCAAGCTCAGCAAGCTCAGCCCTTCAGAGACAGGCCTTCGGTCAGCAGCACCAGCCCCGCCATCATGCCCAGGATGCAAAGGACGTAACCCCCAAGCTTCCACCACGGGGCCTTTGGCGCAAACTGGTATCAGCCAGGACAGCTGGAACAGGCGAAGCAACACATGGACAAAGCCAAGGGTGGCCTCGTCCATCTCTGCCAGGACAACTATGGCACTGAGGCTGTTAGTGACGATGTTCGACCCCATGAAGACTGTGACCATGAAGAGAGCCTGTACAGCTGGATTTTCTTTGTAACTTTGCTTGCTTGAAAAGCTACCACCTCGTAGCTCTGCAAGCCCGTCGAGATGAAGTACAAGTTGGTGGTACCTGACATTGGAAGGTCTTTGGCTTCATGGTTTTGGGAGCTTTGGCTTAGGTTTGTGCAGGGTCTGACAAAAGAAAAAGCAACTAATCCTCCTTGCTGCTTTGCTGCTGAAGAGAATGGCGGCGATGGTGGCAATCCAGGACACCGGTTTTGTCCAGGCCAGGCAGTTACCACCAAAGCACTGCTCCAGGAGCACTGCCACCTCAGAGTTTAGCAAAAGAAAAGAACCAGAACTGGCAAAAAATCGCAGAGGGATTTTAGGATTTTTGCTCCTTAGATCCCGATTGAAGCTGACTGGCCTGAAGATAGGGGTTTTTTTACATGTGTGGAGGGGGAGTTGGGTGGGGGGTTTAGCCCCCCTGGATTTTCATCCGGATACATTCCTTGGGACATGAAGGGCAATCGAGGATACATATCAAAGGGGTTAGGGCCTCAGGAATCACCAGTTGTGTATGTGCACAGCATGTTCATGGGGCTTGGAGGCTGCAATGAAATCCTTCGGGCCTGAGCCGCAAACCTGAAAATGTTGTCATGCCTCATCAAGCGCTGATTTTGTAGTCTTTGTTGTCGAAACCCTCGCCTGCCAGTGTCACAGCCGGCAGTTCAGGCTTTGTCGTCTTTGTCGTCGTCAGCCCTCACCTCCCACTATAACAGCGGGAGGCTCAGAGTTTGTCGTCTTTGGCGTTGAAGATGCCTCCAACTATCACAGTGGGAAGCTGCCCAGTGCACCGAAATAAATCCTGTCGGCCTTCCCCCCAAACTGATCATCTACTCACCTGAGATTTGCAGGGCTCACCTTTCCACCGGGGCCAGCAACAAACACGACGTAAAATCCTGCAAACAGCCATAGGGACCCGAAAATTGAATCCTCCATGAAGAACTGATGACAAAAAATATTTAGCCTTGAGCCCCTAGATTTCATTTGACCGCATCCGACCCCTAATTATCCTGAAGCTTCCATAGTGCAGCCCAACCACAATTTTTGTGCACCACATGTTTCCCGCCAATGTGCCTTGGAATGCAAAAGCCACCCAACGCCCGGCTCTCAACATGTCCATGGCAGTTTGTTCTCTAAGCGGGAGACCTGCAGTAGCCCCAAGTGAGAAGCCGCGTACTGCGGAGCCGTCGGGGTACTTCATCAAGACCAAGGTGTTGAAGAGGAACCTAAGTCCCAACTGCATGAGAAAAGCACGCACAACATTATTATGTCATCATGAGCACAATCTGGAGGACGCCTGAGGCAAAAGCCAGCCAGTGAAACAAAGGCCATAGACCATGGTGCGCGACTGCAGCAGCACATGCTGCACGTACTCTGCACTCCAGTTCACCTCGTTGATCTGCCGGAAGAACACCTTGGTACAGGCCCAAGCATAGCAAGCTAGTTCTTCCGAAGGCGGAGGGACCCATATCCTTCTGAACTTACCAGCTTGATACTTGCCACATGCGGCTACACGTGGCTGGGCCAGCGCGGAATGCAAACGGGCTTTCCATGTTTCACATGTGGTTCTCCTGATGGGAAATGTCAAGAGATGCTCAGTGGACATGTTCCCAATGAAGAAACAGACGGACAGAATGATGGCACATTAGCAGGAGCCAGCGTGAAGAATTCTGCGAAGCTTCCGCGACAGGATTTGGCAAAGACCAAAGATGCACGATGGTTTTGTGTGGCAAGACCTGAGCGCTAAGCCTCTCAAACGTTCTCAAAGCCGAATTTAAACGAGCAAAATCATGGCACAAAAGCTGTGTGTCAACAATGCACCGAAACTTGGTGTCCGAAAGCGTCAAGATTTCTTTAAATCAAATCCACAGACACATGACGGCTTCGCACGCGACACCTGCTTGTCAACATATCAAAGGTTCTTGTGACAAACCTCAGCAAAGATTGACTACAGCACGCATCTTGTGACAAATCGCCGCATCAAAACTTCCCTCTTGACCTTCCCAAGCAAACGCGACCGCTTCGCGTGAAACCTCTGCGGAACTATCTCTACCCTCTGACGGAACTTCCGAAGGATTCAACAATGCCTCTTGCACGAAAATTGCGTCTCAAGATGTCTTGTAGAGTCTGAGTCGCAGCGGTTCCTTGAAACTCCTATGTCAAGATGCCTCTCAACGATGCCCACAAATACATGCAGGAACATATTTGCCAGAATTGATTCCCAACCTCTTGAAAAGACTGTCGTGTTAACACGTCTCGACTGAAATTTGTACGCCACCGACTCTTATGCCAAAACTCCGTGTCAAGTTTTCCCGAAGCCTTAATGTCAAGACTGCGCAAGACTGCTGAAAACATGCGGAGTTGATCCTTATAAAAGCCACATCTGTGTTAACAGACCTGCTCAGGATATCCGTACCGTCACCACGTGAGTAAAGCCTCTGTGCCAACATGCTTCTCAAAACTTCAAGATAGTCACGACTAAATCTCTTGTCAAAGATGCACCGTTTTTTTTTTTCTTTCTTTTTTTTTCGCTGAGCTTTCCCGAAGACATTACCAGTCATGGTGTGAGGCCTGCATGTCACAATTTCTCTGTGCTTTTGCCATTTCTGTAAACAACAACTGCTTTTTGTGCGAAACTTCCGTTGCAATTCCTCCTCCGAAGCTCCCGAAGATACAGCAACTTTCACATTCTCTCTCGGTACCGATACTCCACCACCTTTTGTTCGAAACCGTCGGGCCAACATATCCCTCACAAATTCCGAGAAATGAGCCGCCGCTTCTTGTGCGAAACCTCCGAGTCAAATGCGCACTCACCGTTTACAGAAACCCAAAAGTGCATTCCTGCTGACTTTTGCCGAGACTCCCATAAGCCCACAACACGCCATTTCTTGGGCAAGCGTGCCACATGTTCTATCAAAAATCGAAAACGTTAATGCGGCTTCTTGTACGAAACCTTTACCGAGACATCCTAAAGACCTTTGCCTCAACACGAAGTGCCTAAAAAAAAAGCTCCCTGTATGCACACCCTCGATGGCTCGATGTACAGTAAGCATTCCTTCAGTTTCGCGAGGGTTTAGAACGGAAGCCTGACTCGGGAAATGGACTTAAGCTCTGAACAGTCATGAGTTGTCTAGCAACCCAAATCCATGGTCTTGCTTTCAGGCATCCTGGGGATGGCATCCTATCATTTGAAAAGGAAAAATAGGTGAGCTGGAACAAAAGACAAGCTGGCACACTTCACTACCACCACTACAGAAGAGATAGAAAAGCATACTACATCTCAGTCTGGAACCTAGCTGTCTTCTTTAAACCTTCTCAATCTTCGAGTCAGCGATAGCAACCCACACTTTGCCGCCCTGCTTGCAATCTCATGTCTACCACAGGCATGACGCGCTTTCTTGCACGGACAGTATAATGTATAATGCCCTGTATTCTAGTTCATTCAATATCTCTGCATGTGCATATATGTATATATTCAAAATCCCAATCCCTAATTCTCGGCGCAACTTTGAAGCTGGCACGCAACACACAGCATGGCACCCCTGTTCAGAGGAACTTCTTGAATGTTTCAATCGGGAGAGCTGGAAAATGCGTGTGTCTGGGACAAGATCAACTTTGCAAAGCATCCAACCTTGTGTGTGGTCTACAAAGCTGCCAACCACTGCCTCCCAATCCCTCGGGCCCCGGGCCGAGGTGGTGGCTGTGAAGAAAATGATTGCTGCACTGATGAGACGCCGCGGCGTCAGTGTCTCCTTGGTGCTCCCAGAAATGTTCCAGGCTACAGAATTTAGGACATGAGTGAGGCGAGGGCAGCTAGGTTTGAGCTTCTTGCCCTCACGCCTAGTGCAAGTCATCAAGTCAAGACGACATCTAGCCGACGAGAAGAAAAAAAACAACATTCCCTAAAACGGGGTCTTGTGTGGCCAATCACGTCCGTTTGACTTGCACTTGCACCGAACTGCGACTCCCAGCTATGATCATCGATATCCTAACTCAAGGCAGGATGTCTTCTCCAACTTTCACGCGGCTTCAACATCAGCATGCTCTATGCCACGAACACCGCAAACCGCTGCCGAGGCTCTCCCAGGGAGCAGGGCGCGATCAGCGTATTCCATACGATGTCCTTGCAGGGCATGCGGCAAAAGCTCAGCGCTTTACACGTTGCCACTCACAAGTTAAGCCCAAAAAGGAGGAAAGTCCAAACACTCAAACGAGAAAACACGTAGGAGTCCATGCCCGTGACCGGGGCGATGACCGACGCAGGCGCCAGAGCGTAGCCAGCTACGTCACAGGCCGGGTTGAGCGCCACCTGCAGTGCAAGGCCTCAGCTGTTCCCACATCTTCCCAGGGTTCAGGCGGTTCAGGCAGTTCGGGCACTTCATGGAGGTTCCAAGCCGACACGGCAATGCAAAAATCCCTCAAGACCAGACTTGGCGCTGGTGGCGCTGGAGCCTACCTTGAAGCCTGAGGATCCTAACTACGCTAACTCTCTTCAGCTTCCATTCGAACGAATCCTTTCCTGAACAACCCGTCTTCACTGGCTGTCAGAGCCCACATACGCCCCACCCAAAGACTTTGCAGCGACTGAATCATGACATTATGGCAAGCAGCAAAGTGTTGGTAAGGATAGGCAAGGCAACAACTGTACCGAGAATGTCTTTAAAAAATTGGCCATAGCCGCAGTTGAGGGAAACCGACGCTTGGGCTGATAATTGAATCACGGAACCTGTCACAAGGAGGCAGTTGCCCTCCTGCTGCTTTTGGTTCTCCTTCACCAGCTTTGAGTAGCGAACCATCTGCTTGCCGATCGTGCCCGCCAAGGTGCCAAGTACGGCCAGGCATACCTCAAATCCATTTGATGAAGAATGTAAGTGTACTGTTCCCATTCTTCAAGTCATTCTTTTGAAGGGAAGGGGCAGAACGACATGACTGGAAAGTTTGCCCGATTGCCAGCAAGTTACTCCAAGAAACCAGTAAGAGCCGCTGTTGCCCGTCGATTGGGGCAGCACTTGGATTTCATTTCCTGTTCCAGACACATTCATTCCACAGCCACCGCCGCAAGCATCCCATCACCGGCGCAGGCATCGAAACCATTTGCTACACTTCATGCTGGAGCCAGATCGTCTGCCAATTCGAGCAGGCAACTTGTCTTTGGAGGACCTGACTTACAATGTTACCAAATAACCTCAAACATTGGACGAGGTAGCGTAGCGGCGTAGCTCATGGGCATCTTGCTGTGGAAAGGCTGCGCATGGTGCTCGAACCTGGACCGCTACACCTGCGAGGAACACCACGATTAGGGCAAGTGATGACATGAGGTACATGCTTCTTTGAAAGCTGAGCATCTTGTGTATCTGTGCAATCCACATGATCTTGAGGCAGCTGAAGCTAAAGCTGTCATCATGACGCGGGGATAATTCCTGATTCAAATCTGACATCCTGACGTCTTTGAGGGCATCATGCGGGTTCGCTTCGGATTTGTTGGGCACTCATAACATGTCAGCAGCTGCAAGACAGCTCATACATTAGCCATGTCGTTTTTGAGTTGTGAGAACCACCTACAAATGCACGGCGGAGAGGGCTTCATGGAGTAAACAGGAGAAACACGCTGTTTTCGCGGCCATGAACTCATTAGATCCTTTTCTGCCAGCGCAGCGTCCAACAGTTCAGGTCCCAGGTTCCACGAAGCCGAGGCCACTCCCTGAACCCACGGAGCCTTCAAAAACAGCTTCGAAGGCTTCGTGGCGTGGCCTTGGAGACCTGCAGTCACCAAGTCACCCGTGGTTACCCAGGGCACCCACCACCACTCGTGGAAGAGGAGCTGTCAGGGTTGGCTCAAACAAAGCCCGTTTGGGGCCAAGTGTCAAGGAGCATCCACAGCTAAACACCTAAATCCTAAATGCTACCAAATGCTGTGCTGGTGATGTAGGTCTTGGGGCAGCTCCTGGCACAAAATGCCGAAGTTGCCACGGTGCCGGCAGCGCTTGGCAGGCATTTGAAGCAAGCACAGAGACTGCGGAATCTGAAAAGAATCACGGAGGCACAAGTGCCAACTGTGCCAACGATGCCACATCTGAGACTCAGACCGCAGAGGTCTTGGTGGGTTGGAAGCATCCGACACTCCTGACACTCAACATGCGAGACGCGGCCTCGCAGTCCGTCCACACTTGGACACCAAGAAACTTAAGACGCCAAACCGAGACGCAATAGGATACTGTGGCAGAGCCTGACTCTTCAAACCCCTCGCAAGTACCCAAAACCAACCTCAGCAAGGCTTCAGCCAGGCCTCAGCAAGACTCCCCTGCTTTGGAAACAGGGAGAAAGAGGCGCTCTCGAGCGCGCAGAGCGCGCAGAGCTGTGACTCAGAAGCTCAGAGCCGGTCACCAGATCACCCGCTGACACACCCGCTATCGCAGCTTTCACAAAGTCTCACGCTTGTCAAACAGCTTTCAAGGAGAGGAAAGGAGAAGACGTGCTGCCCGTGCCCTCTGACAGAAGCTGCTGTACACGCTGTCAACCTGTCACGGCCCAGGAACTTGCAAACCTCAAGCCTTGCCGGACCTTGCTAAGCAGACAAGGTGCCTGTCTGTGCATGTAAGAGTGGCATCGGCCAAGACGGATCCTCTCGCAGGGGCTGCGGCCAATAGAAAAACTGTAGCAGAAGAGCGTGGCATCTGGTGTGGGGCGGCAAACTGCCAGTAAATCACACAGCTCAGCTCTTTTTCAGATGTAAAAGCTAGAGCTAGCATCAGCAACGGCGACTCGGAGGCGGTCACCATGAGCACAAAGCTCCCAAACGCTCCGAGCCATACAGAGCCTCATCTTGAGAAACCGCCATCGTCCTCCACCGATACTGGACTGAAATTGAAGCAGCAAACTGCCATGCGAAACGTGGCGCGCGTGAGGCAATGTCGTCGCACGGCCCAGGTTTGGCATGACTCTATCCGCAGAAGTGCACTAGCTGCAGGAATTGAGCCCAAACGCGCGAATCTACGATAAACCCTGCTGCATGGAAGTAGTACCTGTATTTCTTTACCGTGCCTTGGTGTTTGGGAACTAGCGACCCGTCGACGCGTCAGGCCATGGAGAGTTGTAGCCTCACTTCCACGTGTAGCCGCACTTCCACGTGCAACTCCGACTCGACGAGCAAGCAGGTAACTCTAGGACAAAATGTCCTGCCTTCTTCTGCTGCCCCATCTTTCGATCATTGCTGCACTTCACGTCAAGGCCGTAGTGCCAGACACTTTTGGGGATTCAGGCGTCAAGAGCACAGCTTGTGCACCCAGACCTTTCATGGAGGCAGACTTGCCGCCAGATCTCACAGAGTCACAGAGTCTCGTTGGCTCTAGGCGATAGCCAGGCTGTAGTCTAGTTTTGGGGTCCAGGACCGAGACCCAGAGATGATCGAAGTGAGATACCGCAGGCGCTTAGACCGCCTGAACTTTAGAAATCGTGCCTTCAGGGCGTCATAGCGACATGATCGTGCTACGGGCTGCCGGCATCATGCCAGAGAAATGCCAGGAAAGGTCAACCTGAGCCTTTTTCCATCTGCCCAGGCCCGTGGAATCCAGTCAGGTCATTCTTCTGACTCTCCTTGGATTCATGGCACTGACATTTAGCACCACAAGACCTCGACAAGACCGATCTCTGGCGAATCAGACCGGAAAGCTGCTACTCAGGTGCATCATCTGCAGGCGGCAGTCGGTGTGCAAGATTGACCCTTCAAAGCTTGCGAACCTCAAGCAAGGATCTTTCTACAACGTCTTCATCAAGCAGGCGCAGTGGCCATTGAAGGCTACACTCGAATCAAGATTGGCACTTTCGGGTCTGCACATGGGTCTCTGCATGCGCCGCATGCGATGGGAAAGAAGGGAGCGAAGCACGGCAAACGGCCAGGGCGGCCAGACTGAGATTTGGTCACTGGAATCGAAGCCAAGATAGCAGCTTCACTTTGGACAGGCTTCCACAAGTGAAGCTTGCAATGCCCGTATCTCGGTTCTACAAAGACCTTGGGACAGCACCAGCCCATCCAGCACGTTGAACAAGTGGAGCGAGTCGAGCGCCAGCGGCGAGGCAGCATCGAGAATACGGCGCAGGGACCAGACCCAGCAAGGGCTTCATGCTCAGATGGCGGCTGCCCACGGGTTACTGGAGAGCACCGAGTCCTCCTTCAGCCCAGCGGCCATGGGCAGCTTCAGCCACGGGCTGAGTTTCTGTGAAGGATGCTGTGGTTGCTCTAGGCTCCAAAAATAAAGTTCACATGCATCTCGTGCGCTCCGCGGCCACAATACAGCTTATTTGGAACAAGGGACCTCCAAAATCGCCGGATGTGTTTTCCAAGATCTGGAGCTATGAATTCTTCAGCATGGCATGCGATTTCCGGCCCTGTTACATCACGGCTGAATGTGCGGGCATCTGGATGTGGACAACTTTGCCCTCGGCTTGGGCTAACATGCTTGATGAGTACTGCCTATGCCGGCATCATCACAAAGGAGGTGAGGAAACGAAAACAAGTGGGCACAAGCACTCTGCAATTTTCTAAGATAACCCCCAACTTAAGAGGGGTAGGGCAGTTAGGGGTTTTCAGGAGATCTGCCCCGGCGCAGTTCCTGCAAAACATATTTGGAGGGGGCGTTGGACCTAGATTCATTAGGTACGGTATATGAAAAGGCAATACTACACCGTACTAAGCCCCAAAAAGTCATGTTGCGGGGCCCATTTCTTGACCACACCCCACACTTACAGAAATAGACCTGGAAGAGTGGAACAATGAGCAGGGCAGAGAGTGACTCGGTCCTTAGCAGGGAGCATTATTGAGGGGAGGTAGTTTCTAAGAATAAGCGATCAACCCGTGCCAGTCAACATCGAGCAGCCAGACCACCCAGTTAACGCTCTTTATCAGCAGAGGCCACAAAATCCTGAAAAAGCAGTGATCGGCCGACGGCAGAATGGCTCTGTGGCTTTACACCGGGGCTTACACATGGCCAATCTCACTGCCAACAGCGAGCCTGCAATTGGAATGATGAATGCCCTTGGACTCTAAGACCCAGGTCCGAAGTCTAGCTTGCAGGCGTTGCAGGTGCCCAAAATGCACCGACAGCCTGGGTCCGTAGAGGCCCACGTCAAAATGTCATGCGCAAGCACAGCAAGCCAAGCAAGGTCTGCTGGGCATTTGTCTCAACGTTCAGCCACTGCAGCCACCTGCTTGGGCTTTAAGTCAGGGCGCGACCTGGAAAGGCAAAGGTCTCAGAGGCTACTGGCAGCTGACAGTGTCGATGGGATTGTTCAACTGTTCAGCAGCAGAGATGGCTTGGTACAGCTTGTGGTAAGCAGATCTCCAGATCATTACCAACCGCTAGACAAGCCTGCAGCTCAAGACAAAGACCATCTGAGCCCGAAGGCCCGACAGCAGATCCTAAGCCGGCAGGATGAATAAAGAAACAGGATGAAAATCTAAATGATGCTTGGGGTGCAAAACTTTGGATCTGACTGTGAAGCCTCGGGGTCCAGAGACAAAGCGGGCCATCCCCTTCCTCACCTCCCTCTACTTCAAGCTTTACACGAGAAACCTTTTCCAAAAAGCCAGCGCTTAGCTGCTGCTAGCCTAAGGGCCTAGCAGCAACTCAGGCTGAGAACTCCTTGAAACTGTTCACGGCTTCGCTATACCCAGCCTTCAGGTGCAGGTTTGGGTCTGGTGCCATGGTGTCATGCAAGCGGGATGCAAGCCGCCATGCCCAAGCATGCTCAGAAAATGGTCACACCAAGCGAATAGGAGTCAGTGACAAGGAAATGGCAGGTCTGCAACAAAGTGCTTGCCAGACACAATACGCTTTCTGAGCGGAAAGCCGCACAGACCATTGATCACAGATCCAGGCAGATCTGAAATCTGAGTGCTTTCAACTCCGGCTTGGGAATCTGCAAAGCCTCGGACTAATCGAGGCACAATGAAATGAACTTCAGCCTGCTTTGGCAGGCTTGAGGCTTGGTAGCAAGGCGCGGGCATCGATAGCAAGGTTGAGGTCACGAGCCTGCCATCAATTCG